AAGAGCTTCACAGATAAGAACAAGCTAAAGGAGTTCATCACTGCCAAACCAGTATTATATGAAATGCTGACGGGTATTCTTTAAGAAGAGGAAGAAGAAGAAAAAGATAAAGATAAAAATTATGAACAACAAAGTGACAACAAATAATTATCTATCAACAAGTGAATCTAAAAATCAAGTGAATAAAAAATATGATGAACAGAATAAACTGGTGAATATAATAGAATCAGGGGTATAGAAAGGGAGTGAACTGACAATTCTCAGGGGAAAAGGGATGTGGGAAGTGCAGAAAGAGACTGGACAAAACTTGAACACCTATGGACAAGGACAATGGGGGGGGTAAGGACATGGGGTGGGGTGGGAACCGGCTAGAGAGGAGCTATGGGGAGAAAAAAGAGGAACAACTGTAATAAACTGAACAATAAAGACTTATTTAAAAATTAAAAATAAAAATAAATTAACTTTAAGTGTTCCCAGAATGTGCTAATGAGTCAGAACACGTAAAATAAAGATAAATGATTTTAAGCAATAAATTAATTCCATAATAAAATATTTTATTTTATAAATAAAAAATGCCATATCTTAGAACAAGTTTATACAATAAAATATTAATTTCATACAAGTAAAATCATAAAATAACATTTAATCTTCATATTATACAATTATACAAATGAAATATTTAAACTTTTGCCTAAAATCTTACAATCATTAATTTTCAAAAGTGAAACGTATTGGATAAAGCAAAGAAAATAAAATGGAGCAAAGGAAGGCATAATAAGTAGTGCTGGTACAACCAGACATACACATTTAAAAAAATGAATCTATACGCAGACCTTATACCCTTCACATAAATTAACTTAAAATAGATCTTAGATTTAAATGAAAAATACAAAACTATAAAATTCTTAGGAGGTAACATAGGAGAAATCTTAGATGGCTTTAGGTACGGCAATGACTTTTTATATACAATACCAAATATACAATCCAAGAAAGTAGTAATTGCAAAGCTACTTCATTAAAATTAATAGCTGCTCTGTGTAAGATAATGTCAAGAGAATAAGAAAGCAAGCATAGACGGGAGAAAAATATTTGCAAAAGACACATTTGATAAAGAACTGTTATACAAAATATATAGAGAACTCTTAAAATTCAACAATAAGATGACAAACAACTAAATTTAAAAATGGGCCAAGACTGTATCAGACATGCTACTAAAGAAGATATACAGGTGGCAAAATGTATATCAAAATATGCTCTGCACCATCTGTCATCGGGTAAATGCAAACTAAAACAACAATGAGATGTCACTATTTTTCTATTAGAATGGTGCCCCTGAAGTTTTAATCAGGGATAGAACCATTTATTAAGTTTGTGGCAGTGACTGAATTTTCTAATCTTACTCCTGAACGAGGAGGTGATTATATCAACCACTTTTATCTAAATCAATTAGCATTGCAGACAGTATTGGACTCAATACTTAAGGTGAAAATTACAAATGGTCACAATTGCTCTTAAAAATCCACTAGGGAGTTAAATTGATAATAAACTAAGTATCTCTAAGCACATAGATCTAGTTGGTTTTTTTCTCCCACCCCCAGAATGTAGATACACATTTCAGCACTCTAAGTACTGATTAGGTTAGGGAAAGAGCATCTAATGATAAATTCTGACATTAGTATATGGCTACTCTACTGGAGTAACTGAACCCAAAATGCTATTTTATTCATTGCTCATACTTTGGGTAGAAGACTAATTTTTTAAATATTTAGTTTTGTTGAGGAAAGTAGGAAGAATAAAATATTTTGATGGTTGAATGAGTTTAAAATATTGATAATCACAAAGTAAATATGTTTTACCAGAAGGAAAACTATATTTTCTAAACCATAATTTACTACCAAAGATGTGGTAGATAAATTTTCTTATTAATAAATATTTTATCATATATCCCATTTTATGATGTCACTGAGAGTGATGAAAAATAAGTATGACAGGGTGTATGGACTGAGAGAATAGCAAAATATATGAAGACCATACATATAATAATTAATTTGGTAATTGTTTGTAGTATTGACAATGTATGAAATAGAAATTTAGTGAAGTGAGATGAATGTAGAATAATTCTCTGGAGAAGTTTCTATTGATGATGTTGGTAACTAAAATTATCATAATAATTTTATTGAACAATTTCTAACAATACATGATTTTATTCAATCATCATAAAATACCTATGAGGCAGGAAATAATATTGCCATTTAGATGAAGAAATGAAATTTCAAATATCTAAATCACTTGAGTCTCTAACAAAGAGTATGTGAAAGATATCGCATTCCAACACAAGTGCATCCAACCGAAAGCCCGCACTCTTAACCACATTAACACATAAATAATTTCAACTATAAAATTATTATCTGAAAAAGCAAAATTCAGCTTAATACTTTGATAAGTTGAGAAACTAGGAGCATCTTCTGCAATGATAGTAATAATGTTATATGTGAAGAAATGTATACAAAAAATGCTGAAGCATAAAAGAACAAATTCAGTTATATTTTAAGATGTTAAAAGCATTAAAGGCACTAAGTAAAAATGGATATATTATAGTGAAAATTGAATGACTCTAAACAATGAATATTTTGGATAACATAACCATTATTAATACCATAGTATATATATGTTGAATACATACATCGTATTAAATAGGATAAGGTGTGTATGACAGCCAAAGAAAAGGGTTATGCATTCCTAGGACTGTATGTTGCGATTTTGGAGCATTAGCACCAGGAGATGTTGGTAAGGCTTCAGTTTCTTAGAAAGTGGCCTCCTAACAAGGACTAAGTCGAGTATAAATGACTAAGGAGTCAGATGACAGACAGCAGCCAGTAGTACTTACAAAAGTTTTCTAAATTGACATGAAACCAGCAGGAATCAAACTGGATTGCTACTGTGTTAACCAATTTAGAAAATGGAAACCCATGTCAAGTCTATCTTTAGCAGCATGACTTGTTTCTTCAGGACATAAAAGTGTACGCCTGTAACAAGTACAAACCAGATAATCAGCACAACATGATTCATCAGGCAATTTGAACCTACTTAACAAACAGTCAAGAATATCTTCAGAATTTCTAACTCAATGTGACATTATTTTGATTCTATGTATCACCATAAACAATTTCTTTTATTATGATGATGCAAAATTTCCTCTTCTTACACAATTAGAGTAATAAAATATCTATTGAATCTTTAGGGTTAATATATTGCCTGGATAGTTAACCATCTATAGAATATATTTTTAAGAGGCACAAATATTTTACAGATTTGTGAAGCTGGAAATCATTTCATCAATGTAGTATTGGCTCATCCCAACAGAGAGGAAGGGAGAGGGATAGAGAGTTAGAAACATCGATGAGAGAGAAACATCGATCAGCTGCCTCCTGCACACTCCCCACTGGGTATGTGCCCGCAGCCAAGGTACATGCCCTTTGCCGGAATCGAACCCGGGTTCCCTGAGTCCGCAGGCCGACACTCTATCCACTGAGTCAAACCGGTTAGGGCTATAGAATATATTTTTAAAAGGCACAAATATTTTACAGATTTGTGAAGCTGGAAATCATTTCATCAATGTACTATTGGCTCATCCCAATCACACAGGTGAGTGCCTTTTTATTTTAATCTCCTCTAGAGTTAATTATGTTGTTATTTTTAAAAAAGCCTTAAGTAGAAAGACAAACACTGGATGGTTTCACTTACATGTGGAAGAAAACAAACAAAACACAACAAAAACAGATTCACAGAAACAGAGACGAAGGAATGGTTATCAGAAGGGAGGGAATGGGGTATAAGTGAAAAGGGAAAGGAGAATATATTCTATAATATATGGATGAGTTTATATGAAGACAGATAATTACTAGAATTAGCAGGGTGATCACATTGTAAGGTGTAAAAATGTTGAATCACTTTATTATACATCTGACACTAATATAACCAACATAAGGTTATATACTAACTATGTGTAATTTAAAAACACACACACACAATTTTTGAATGGCAAATAGCAATAGTTGAAAACCTTTAAGATATGCCCTAATCCTTAACCTTTGATGCCTAAGTTTTCCAAATATTTGAATTACATCATATGCCCTAATAGTGGGTTCTCTAAAATAAAGTTTGTATGGGAATCAGCAGTCAGGAGATGTGTTAGAGAGTGTTTTTATACATGCGGAAAAAAATCCTATTTGGTAGGAAATTGAGAGCAATATAGTACCAATGAGAGTCTCAGATGAAACTATGGACCATTATAAAGTTGGAATAAAACAACAATGTTGTAAGATTGAGACATCAATTTGATATATTGATCAAATATTGAATATGCATTTTTACATAACTCATGGGCATAGACAGTAGTGTGGTGAAGGCCTAAGGGAGGAGTGGGGAGGAAGGGATCAATGGGGAGATAAAAGAGGGGTATCTGTAATACTTTAAACAATAAAGAGAAATTAAAAAGAGAAGAAAAAAAATGACAAAACCAAAAAGTGAGTGTAATCTTGGGTGAGGTTGTTCCTTTCAACCACACATCCTTCACAGGGAGTGCCAAGGGTTGAAGGTTCCCTGTCAGCAGTATTCCCTGAAGTGGTGGAGTAAACCCTTTATGCTTAAAAAATTTAGTGGTGAGGGCATTGTAATGTAAAAAAATCTTCAGACATTAATTTAAAAGAAGCTTTATTATAAACTAGAGGCCCAGTGCATGAATTCGTGCATGGGTGGGGTCTGGCCAGCCCAGCCCCAATCAGGGCGGATCAGGGCTGGGCCTGTTGGGAGAAGGAGAAGGTGGGAGGTTGGCCAGCCGGCCTGCCCCATTGGGGCCCAATCAAGGCTGGGCTGGCTGGGGGGCAGGGGCAGGGCGATTGGCTGGCAGGCCCTGCCCCCAATTGGGGGGGCTGATCAGGGATCAGTGGCTGGGCGAGGGGCTGTGGGAGGTTGGCCAGCTAGCCCCACCTTTGATTGGTGTGGGGGTGGCCAATTGGGGCAGAGCTTGCTGGGGGAAAGGGCCGTGGGCCGATCAGGGTGCTGGGAGCCCATCAGGGGTGGGGCTGGCCAGGGGAAGGGGCTGCAGGAGGTTGGCCGGCTTGCCCCCCTGATCGGGGTGGGGTGGTCAATCTGGGGTGGGACTGGCTGAAGGTAGGGGCTGTGGGAAGTTGGCTGGCTTTCCCCACCCCCAGATCTGGCCGGTTCTCTGGCCACAGTGGGCGTCATAGCCACCAGTCATTCCGGTTGTTCTGACGTTCTGGGCGTTGGCTTTATATATATAACAAGCAAGCCTCGTACTCGCTTCAGTGCCTGGCTGCCAGCCGCCATCTTGGCTGACAGTTAATTTGCATATACTCACTGATTAGCCAATGAAAAGGGTAGCGGTCGTATGCTAATTACCATCTTTCTCTTTTATTAGTGTAGATAGTTTTGTAGTCTTCAAACTGGAGGCTTTGCATATAGTGTATTGAAAACTTTCCAAAGTATTTCATATTTTTCTTGCTATTTTAAATTATGCTTCTAACATTTTTAAATATCCAATTGTTTATTGCTAGTATATAGAAATGCAACTGCTTTTTTGTATATTGAGTTTATATCCTATGAAATGCCATTTATTCTAGTGGTCTTTTGGTAGAGTCCTTAGGATTGTCTCCGTAGATGGTCATGTCATCTATAAGTAACGTGTTTCTTCCTTTCCAATCTGTATGACTTTTGCTTTTTCTTGCCTTGTTACATTGGTTAGGACCTCTAGTATGAAGCTGAATAGGAGTGGTGTGAGCAGACATTCTTGCCTGTTCCCAGTCTTAGAGGGAAAGCACTTAGTTGTTTACTGTTAAGTGTGATGTTAGTGGTAGGTTTTTGCAGATCAGGTTGAAGAAGTATTACTTCTGATTTTAGTTTGCTGAGTCTTATCAGGAATGGATATTTAATTTTGTAAAACTTTGTCTACATCTATGGAGACGATCATAGAGGTGCTTTTGTTAAAATTAGTTATGGTGGTTTTTAAATGTTGAAAGCACGTTGCATTCCTGGGATACTCCAGAGTTGGTTGTGATGTATGTGTTATGCTTTCTCTAGGTTGCTCTATTGGATTATGGCATCTCTGTTCACGGGGTTTCTTAATCTGTAGGTTTCTTGTCACACAATATCTTTGTGTGGTTTTGGTGTCAGAGTATTACCTCATAGAATGAACTAGGAAGCATTCTCCTGTGAAAAGTTTGTGTAGCATTCCTGTGATTTCTGCTTAAATGTTTGGTAGGCTTCCCCGGTGACGCTGTCTTGACCCAGAGTTGCTTTATTGGGATGGTTTTGAACTAGGAGTTCAGTTTTATTTTATAAAGTTTATCTCTTTCAATTTATGGGATCTGTAGTGATTGCACACTACCCCCACTCCTTTCATTCCTGATATTTTGGTTGAGTTTTGTCTCTCTCTCTCTCTCTCTCTCTCTCTCTCTCTCTCTCTCTCTTTTTTTTTTT